TTCCATTTTTACCCTTGATAATTAATATATGTTTACTGAACAATATGTCTATTTATTTTTAATGTCTACCTATTTTTTCTCCAATCACCTATGTGAAGTTAATGTTGCATTTATGAGGTCAATATGTTTCCAACGAAATATAAAATAAAAAAAAAACAGAAAAAAGGACAGCTATTTACACACTCTAAAGATAGTAGAAAGTCTTGATGGATTTGGAAAGAGTAAAAGACTCTATGGAACAAGTTCAAGACTCTTTAACTTTAGAAAGGGTAGAAGACTCCATGGATGAGACTGAAGAATCTGTAAATTTAGAACTAGTAGAAGACTCCATGGAAGGGGTTCAAGACTCTCCATATTTAGAAAGGGTAGAAGACTCACTTGATTAGGTGATAATTAAAGATGATGAGGAATCTATAAATTCTACATTTTTTATGGAGAAAAAAGCACCATTGGATATAGATTTAAATGTTTCAGTTGATTGTGGTTTTGATTTAAACATTTTTGCTAATCGAGGATTTGATCTCAATCAAATTCCAGAGGATGAAGATGAAGACAAATCAAATTCCAAAAGGATGAAGATGAAGCCTTAGGTAAAGATGAGATAAGAGAAACAATGGGTATCATGCTAAAAATTTATCTGTCAACATTGTAGTAATTTAATTTCCATTTTCTTCATTTTTAACTTTTATTAGAAAATATGCAACTTTTTGTAATGATATTAACTTTTCGTAATATTCACGGTAAACTTTTGTGTTGATATTCACCTTTTGTGATGATATTCACTTTGCTAGCATATTCACGTTAATATATTCACTTTTCGTAAAATATTCACGTTAAATATTTCGTAATCACATAAAATTGTTTCATTAGCCAATTTCCTATGTATGACTATTACCAATTGATAAAAACAAATTAAAAATAGAATACATAATTAAAACATATAAGAAAGAAAATAATAAATTTTCAAATAACAAATAGAAACATAAACTGGGCAGATATGTAGTACTTGAGAATTTAAAATAAAAATCTTAATTAATCTAAATATTGAAGAACATCTTGTACGTACCAATCTAGGATCACAGGCAACCGTCCTTCCCTTTCTAACATCGCTTTATTCAAATGGGGAATTTTGTACTCATGAGAACCTCTTGCTTTCATGATTGCAATCATGCACGGTTGCAATGTTAAAAATACATGATTTGATTTCAATGTAGAAAATGCTTCAAATGACCTCTCAACGGCACTGATAAGCTCATCAATAGATTTAGGTGACTCCTTATATTGTAAGGATTGAATAGCACTAAAAAATCCAAGATCTAAAATATTTAAATCTGGAGAGTTTGCCGGTTGACACATCAAACGAATATCGAATCCATCTTGGGAAGCTAGTCGGCGAAATTCATCATCTTCACAATCAATGTGTGTTCTTGCATTGTCTTGTTGAATAAATATTGGATTGCCTATTTCCTCTATTGGCCATTTTGCCTTGATAGAGGGTAAAACTTTGTCAAGCAAGAATGTCCTCATAACTTCTTTTGTAATTAAAGTTATAGGTTTAGCTGGATCTTGTGTGACAAAAGGAAATACACCAATCTTGCCAGATAAAAGTTCATTTCCTTGTGCATTAAACCTTGGATGAGCTATAGCAACTAAAAACATAACTATACCAATGAAATTTTTGCTTTTACAAGTGCGCATTGGATCCTCTTCATGATGTTGTACATATAGAAACACTTCTCATCAATGTGAATGATATTATACATCCCCAAGAAAATGGGATCATGTGGTATGCTAGCACTATCAAGCATGGATATGCAAAATTGCAATCTAGCTCTTTTGTTCTCCTCTTTCAACAAAGGCTTTATAGCATTTGAATGCCTTCGTATGACTCCTGACTTTAGCCAATTAAATACTGCACCTGTGCTAATGTTCAATGCAGAAGCAAAAGATCTAAGAGTTGTCCTTTTATGCAAAGGAATCTCATGAATTTGAGCAATATCAAATTGAATTCTTTTCCGGCCACGACTTCCTTTCAATTTATTGGTTACATCATATCATATCGAAAAAACTTAAGTCCCACGTCGACTAGAAATTAGGCAATTAAATAGTATATAAGTGGAAAACAACCCTCATTTTACAAATCGATTTTGTAGGGTTGAGTTAGACTTAAATTTACTATTCTAAGATGATATTAGATCTATCTTAGATGCTTAAAAATAGGTCATCCACCATGGACATGAGGGGTGTATTGAGAAAAACTTAAGTCCTACCAATCTTAGATAATTAAAAAGGGCTACTTACCATTTATCCACGTACCAAACCCAATAGTATTAGACGTGAGGGGTTATATCGGAAAAAATCCAAGTCCCACATTGACTAAAAATTAGACAATTACTTAGTATATAAGTGGAAAATAACCCTCACCTTACAAACTAGTTTTATAAAGTTGAGTTAGACTTAAATTCATTATTCTAAGACATCAGCAAATATACCCTTATTATTTTCTTGTTTCCAAGTATGTTGAACAGTACGTATACAAATTGAAAATTGGGATGCCACCATTATAGTCACCCATTTTTCCAATTTTCTATCAACACTCTTCTCCCATAAAGCTTCATATACGGTTCTCCTTTGTGTATTAGACAACACTTTTTTTGGTCTATTGCTTGGTGCTAGGTGTTGTTCCAAATTCATTGTGTGATTGTTAATATTTTCTCCTGAAAGGATGAAGAAAAAAATAATACATGAGATAAACTCCACAATACAAATTTGAAAACACAAAAATTAATAAATTTAATATAAGTACTAGTTTTTAATATGAGTAAATTTTAAAGAATAAATTATATATTAAACCATCAAATTATTAAATTTAGATAACAAATTAATTTAGTGTGTAAGTAAATAAAATAATAAATATGGAAGTGAATGAGATTCTAATGTCCACGTTGAATCCTATTCCTGTGTCTACACCATTCTCTGTTTCACTGTTGAAGTTGAATGCATAATCACTTGAAGCAGTCTAAGATATTGAAGGATTTTCATTTTCATTGACATCACCACCATCTAACTCTACAATATCAACATTAATTAAAAAAAAGAGTTTGCGAAAAGAAAAAAATGTAGTGAACACATAATTTTATACAAATATGATTTAAATTATATATTTAATATCAGTGATATTTTTAAAATTAAATTATATATTTATTCATCTAATTAAAATTTATTTTTTAAAATAATTGATTTTTTTAAAATGACCTCAATACCAATTAAACTTCATGGATGTGCCTTCGTACTTAAATCATGCCAATTTTATTTATATAATTAACATTGCAAATGCTTATGGATATGACATGTTTAATGGAGTAAAGTTACTAAAGATTAAAAGTTTACCTTTCATACCAATATACAAATGAGTTCCTTCATCCATGCTAATATCAGATGGCAAATCATTTAAATCAAACAAAAGTTGAGCTGGACAGGACATTATTGGAGAATCTGGAACATCGTTGAAATCAGGAATCAAGCTCTTTGCAACATCAATATTTAAATCTGGGAGTTGAGGATGAACCTCTTGCACAATTTTGTTGACCATCTTCACTATTCATTTTTAATTGTGAATTCAATATTCAAATCTAGAATTTTATTTGAATTCATGTTAGTTGAGATGTAATTTTCTTAAGTTTAAAATGAGATATATCTAGTGAAGTTATTACAAATCTTTTAGAGGGAAATAGTAATTTTTGGGGGTAAGCAAATTTTAGATCAATCTTGATGGAGGCAATATTATTCATCCATGATTTTTTTTTCACAGTATTCATTTAGGAATTAGGATACCTAAAAGACACAATTTACTTAAAGGTGTGATTAAATAGAGTATGTTACTGTTCACATGTGTATTCTAATAATCAATGCATTAATTCATGGACATGTGTGATTAAATGAAGTAGGTTACAGTTCACATGTGTATTCTAATAATCAATGTATTAATTTATGGACTTCTCAAAAAGTACATAATAATAATAAGTGTATACAAATCAACAGTCTTAAGATTTGAATGCAAAAAAAATATAACAAGAAAGTAAGTAATAAATATTTTTAAAAATTAAAATATCAATAATTTTCTTAAATCATATAAAAAAACCTTAAACGATTATAAAAAAAAAGAGAAAAGTATTATATTAAAGAATATCCAAACCCACACTACGTTAATTTTCCCAAGATCTCATGTTGGTAATTATCTAAAGTAAATCTTCAATATAAAATTTGGACAAGGAGTAACAAATAATCTTCAATATTTTTTAATGTATATATAAAATTAATTATAATATTTTTAATATATATATTTTTTATAATTATAAAATTAAGAAAAAAACAAAGGGATGCCAAGCTAACAACACTTGAATATATTAAAAAAGAAAGACATCCACACTAGAATATTAGAAAAAATTGATCTCTTAAAAGGTAATCACACTTAAATATTAAAAGAAAAATACCCTCAATGAAACAACGATATTTAAATATTATAAAAATATAAGAAATTTAGTTCCTTATTAGAGATAACGACATCCATAATCCATTATAAAAAAATATTTTCACTAAAGGTAACAACACTTGATATAGTTATTTAAAAGAAATATCCATAAAATCGCATGCGGGATGATCATTAATGTAAACAATTCCAACTCCACTTAAAAAAAATTAACAACATCCCCTATTAACCACATCAAAATAGTAAAATATTTTGAAACCATTCTTTTAGATAAATTATTTACATAACGACTGCCATTGGATAAAAAACCCTGTTTTTAAAACAACTTTAACCCATTAATATAATTTGTAATTGATTAAAATATGAAGGTATACAACACAGAGACTTAGATTAATCGATTATAAGAGAAATATTTACTCAATTAGTTCACTTTTACGACAAAATCAGTAAGAATATTACTAAAAATTTTGTAACCAAAAGGAAATTACTAAAAACAAGAATTATTCATTTTCTTACTCCTTAATTGCCAAACACCGCATTTTATTTAAATTTAATTCATGAACTGGTTAGGGTTTTGTTCCCTGCACTCTGGGTTGTTTGGTTTTGTTGGCAGCTAGCTATATCTTGGATCCTATCAGGGTAGTGCCTGTGTTTGGAGAAAGGTTGGTGACTGGTTAGTGTTGTGTTGAACAGAACGATGACAACGTCAACTATGGATGTTTTCCGTTTCCACCACACCCCTTTTTATTGGTGATTACCTCTCTCTTTTGGGTTTGTAACCTTTTTAGACAGTGGTTTCTGTTTTCATCATTCATGCTTGATGCTATGTATATTGCTGATAGAATCAAAATAATCTCTTGTCAAATTTTACAGTAGCCAATTTTCCTGTATGATTTTCTCTTAAATATTGTATAGGGTTTTAGAGTTGGTACCCATCAACATTTGGGGATAATTTCTGTTTTTTATTTTATTTTATTTTTAAATTTATAATTCCATCCTTTTAACTAGTTTGGGCGTGGTAATATGCTTTAGTTTTTTTTTTATTTATTTATTATTTTTCGGGTGTTTATTTGTAGTGAGGAGAATGTATACTTGCTTTGCAAGAAGTTGTGCAGTGATGGGATAGCAAATGCTGAGGGATCTGATCTTTTTGTTGTTTTCATTTCCAACGAAAGGAAACAGGCATGTACTATTCTTCTTCCTTGGGGGAGGGGGGGAGGGTGCTGTATGATCCTTTTTTAGTTCAAGATGATTGATTCATGGCATAAAAATTGTTTTTGTGAATATTAATTGACACACTTTGAATCTCTTCTGCTCAATGTTTATTTACTTTTTTTATTTTCTTTTCAGTTGGGTTTCTTATCCTGCCCTAAGATATAATTTCTCTCTTTTCTAGCTTACACTCGCAAAAAATGATGGCACAGAATGATAGTGGGAAAGGGAATACTTCTCTGGGTCTTGCACTGTGCAATTAGCTTAAGAAAAAAAAATGTCAAGTTTTGCTCATATAGCCAGTATTTAACTCCCATCCTCTTCTTTCCTAATTATATTATGCTGATTGCTGACAAGTGGACAGAGTACTAATTACATGTTTAACTCTTACAGCATGCTTTTTCTCCCACTAAGACTACATTTCTGATTGAAGAGTTATCTGTTATAACTTGCTACAAAATTACAATCCTTTTTCAATGAGTACTCAAATATACATCTTAACTTTTCTAGATCCCACTATGGAATCAAAAAGCTAGCAGAAGAGCTGATGGGGTGATTCTATGGGATTATCATGTAATTTGCATTCAGGTATTGCTAAATATGTATTTCCTTTCAATGAGTTGAGGGGGCTACTTAAATGGATTTTGAAAGTAGTTCATTTTAATATCTAAATTTGCTTATTATAGGGATCATTTGTCATACTTTTCTTGTGATTGACATTACAGATAAAAAAAGGAGGTATCCCTCCGCTAGTGTGGGACTTAGATTCAAGCCTTCCTTTTCCTTCACCTCTGCCTTCATATGTGTCTGAAACAATACGCCCATCTTTTCAGCTTTTTTCTGATTATAATAGGTAATGTACTTTCTGTTTTGTCCACCATTTTGTTCTGTTCTAATGGGGTATTTTGATGCTTTATAAATCTTGTTGATATTGCTAATTTACAGTTGGTACTTGGTAGTTGGTAGTAATGCAAGTCCAGGCTGTTTATGTGTCACATAATAATAGTAGCTACAACAGTTCTTTTACAAAATTAAAGTCTAGATATGCTGGGGTTGGTGATGATGACCTAATTGGTTTTATATTTGCGTATATTTGACATGGGTAAAAAAATTATATCTACAATTATACATATTTACTTCTTGTCCTCCTGATATTAAATTTCCTTGAATGATTTAAGTACAAAGATATTTAGAAGTCCTAGTAGTATGCACTGAAAAAAAAAAAGTCCTAGTAGTAATGTTATTGTTTTTCTTTTTTCTTTTTGGTTTCTAATAATATATTTTTTAATCCATGTATCAAGTATGTGATAAGGGTGCTCAGTTTTTCATCCCTTAATGTCATGTTGTGAAGTCCAATCATGGTTTCTTGTCCGTATTATTTTGAGGAAGTTATGATTAAGATATGTTGATGACATTATGATGAACTAATGGTTTTCAATTAGCTTCCTCATTTAAACATCACATTTAGGTTGTTAGAAATGGTGATTAGTTCTTGGCATCCTCTATGTTGTGTGTGCATTTTATTTTTTTTATAGAAGAAATTTCATTAAAGACCAAAGAGGAATACAATTTAGGAGAAGGATAACAGGTCCTTGAAAATATAGAAGACTAAATGCTATATGAAGAAAAATAGGGGAAGAAAAGTAAGTATGTAGCAAGGCTTTTCAATTTCCCTTTAAATTTGTGATTGAAACATTATTGAAGCTTCCATGACTAGGGTAACATGACGCCACCGATAGGGATAAAAATAGGTTAGGTCTTAAACAAGGGTTTATGGCCTGACTTGATCTGACATGTTTAATAAAAAGACTAAGTTTAAACTTTTAAAAAAATATTTATATAAAAAGGTTAGGCTTAGGCTTATAAAAAAGCTTGTTAGGCCTAATAGGTCAATCTATTTATTTATATAATATAAAAAAATTAATATACATATATTATTCAAAATATAAATAAACAAATAAATTTATAAAACAAAAATAAATTATCAATATTTAAAATACTTTTTTATACAGTTGTCTTTTTTTTCATTATAGGTTTACATATGAGGGAGTGTACATCAACATGACGTCAATATATATGGCTAAGCATGAATTGTCCCTCCAACAGAAAATGATTTACTTTTTTCTCCTAGATTTCTTTTAAAATTTAAACTTTAATAATATTGAGTAAACTATATTTTAAAAATAAATTTATTTATATAATATAATAATTTTTTTTAATATATATATATATATATATATATTATTAAAAACGTAAATAAATTTATAAAACAAAAATAAATTATCAATATTTAAAATACTTTTTTATACAGTTGTCTTTTTTTTCATTATAGGTTTACATATGAGGGAGTGTACATCAACATGACGTCAATATATATGGCTAAGCATGAATTGTCCCTCCAACAGAAAATGATTTACTTTTTTCTCCTAGATTTCTTTTAAAATTTAAACTTTAATAATATTGAGTAAACTATATTTTAAAAATAAATTTATTTATATAATATAATAAAAAATTAATATACATATATTATTAAAAATATAAATAAACAAATTTCAATATTTAAAATATTTTTTTATACAATTTTTTTTTTCATTAGAGGTTTATAAGCTTACGACTTGTGTATGAGTGTAAAACAACATACATGACTATGTATGAATTGTCCCTTCAATAGAAAATGATTCACTTTTTCTGTATATTTCTTTTGAAATTTAAATTTTAATAATATCGAGTAAACTATATTTCAAAAATAAATTTGTTGGTTTTTTAAAAATTAAGTTTGTTGACCTAATTGACATTATTAATATAAATAGACTTTTAAATAGGCTAATAGGTCAAGTTAGACTTTAAAAGGGTTAGATCAAACCTATAAAGAAAGCCTATGATAGATTATAGGCCAAACTTAGACTTTAATTTTGTAGGACAAGTTTAGCCTATATATTCAAAGTCTTTGGTCTTTTTCCATCCCTAACCACTGACATAAAAAATTATACTTTCCCAAATAAAAATTGATTGCAGAAATCTCCTCGCAAAAATACGTGAGTTCCTCTCTAACTACACACCAAATGACTGCATAAATTATGCCATAGACATAAAATCTTTGTCTCCATGCTTTTCTTGAATCCTTTATATCATATCAACATTGCTCTAGACTAGAGTAACACACTATTGCTCTCTAGTAATCACATAAGGTTGTGCGAAAGGAAATGAAATACCTTGCAATGCAAGAATAATTGGCTTGCTGTCCCTGAGCTAGACCTGCACATAGATAGCACATACATATATTTGAAAATAGTGAGCTAAGTTCTAGGAATCTATAGCGATTCATTTGTGTTAATCATGTTATGTACTATTAAAGATATGAAAAATATGTAAAGCTAAAAATTAGGGGTTATGGATCCTTTTCTTAATTTTCTTTCCTGATTTCCTTGACTGTATCATTATAAATAAAGTAGAATATGTGTGAATCATTACACACAATTCATGCAATTCATTATGATATCTGTGCTCCATTTTGTACCCTCAACAAGACCTTCACTTTGTTTCTAACCATGTCTTCGGATGCACTTGTTTTGTTTATGATCTTACTCTAGGTAAAAATAAGCTTTTTTCCAAGTCACTTAAATGCATTTTTCTTGGTTGCCCTCACCTTCAAATAGGATATTGTTGTTTCTGCCCTCAACTACAATGGTATCTTGTCTCTATTGATGTCACTTTCTTTGAGTCAACTCCTTTATTCTCTACAAACAATGCTCCCTTGAATGTTTCTTTGGATGTTCCACCTGTTGTATTGTCCCCAATTGTTGTTGCCACCCAACCACCACTACTTACACCAATGTCTCATGCACTTGAGCTTCCCATTTCCTTACACAAAGGTATTCGGTCCTCTTGTAATCCTCACCTTTTATATGCTTGTACTCTTTCCTATGATCGATTATCTTCTTATATTTCTCTTTTATCACTTCTTTGGATTTTGTGCCTATTCCTAAGTCTATAGGTGAAGTTATGGTTGATCCCCATTGGCAACTGACAATGTTGGACAAGATGGCTGCTTTACATGCAAGTGAAACCTTGGAGCTAGTTCCTTTGCCTCATGGCAAGACTACTGTTTGGTTGTTGTTAGTTTTATATAGTGAATATTGGACCAAATGGTGATATTGATCTATTCAAAGCCTGCTTGGTGGTTAAGGGTTGTACTCAAATTTTAGGTCTCAATTATGGTGACACTTTTTCCCCAATGGCCAAGATCACATTTGTTTGTCTGTTTCTTGCTATGGCTACCATTCGCCATTGGCCACTTTATTAGTTGGATATTAAAATATTTTTTTTTTTTTGCATGGTGAGTTGTAGGAAGTTTACATGGATCAATTGCTTGGTTTCACTATTTCAAATGGCCCTCACCTTGCTTCCTGTCTTTGTCATTCTTTGCATGGCCGAAAACAATCTCCTTGTGCTTGGTGTGGCTGATTTAGCTCGGCCTTACTATAGTTTGTTATGATCCATTGTAAGGTTGACCACTCTGTCTTTTCTCTTTACTCTCCATATGGCTTATGCATTTATCTAATGGTCTATGTTGATGGCATAGTCATCACTAGTGATGATTTTGATGGCATTCGTTGGCTCAAATCTCACCTTCAAAAATAATTTTAATCAAAAGACTTGGGGCCACTTAAATATTTTTTAGGCATCGAGGTTGCTTAATCCACCTTTGGCATAGCCATTTCCTAGAGAAAATATGCTTTAGATGTTCACAACAAGACTAGTATGCTTGATTGTCGCCTAAGTGACACACTCATGGATCCTAACATGAAGCTTCTTTCGGGTAAGGGGAGCCACTAAAAGACCTGGGAAGATATTGTTGACTTGTTGTTAGACTTAATTATCTCACTGTCACCAGACAAGATATAACATTTGGACTAAGCGTAGCAAGTTAAATGTCCCATGTGATAGCCATTGAAATGCTACCATGCGCATCCTTAGATATATCAAGAATGACTGTTAAACAAAGGCAATGTTAAAATTGTTTGTTACTCTGATGCTGATTGCGTAGGGTCTCTATTTGATAAGAGGTCAACCTCTGGCTATTGTATTCTTATTGAGAGAATTTGATCTCTTGGAGAAGAAGTATCACAATACAGTAGTGAGATCCAACGTTGAAGTTGAATACTGTGCCATGGCTGCAACTGCATGTGAAATTACATGGCTTAGACAACTTCTACAATAGCTACAGTTTGGAGACACTCAAGATACTAATCTTATTTGTGACAATCAAGCTACTCTTCACATTGCATCTCATCCATTCTTCTAAGAACAACTTAACATATAGAGATAGGTTGTCATTTTGTGAGGGGGAAAGTGCTCTTTAGTGAAATCACCACTATCTTAGTCCGTTCCAATGACCATCTTGTTGATCTATTCACTAAATCTCTCAGGGGGCCTTGTGTTGATTGCATTTGAAACAAACTTGATTCATATGATATATATGCTCTAGATATCGTCAAGTAATAAAATATCAATCCATAGGGACTACATTTTGGTTTGTGCAATTATCACTAATTAATTGAAATTAGATAAAAAAAGGATTTTTTTTAAGAATTGATTAGATACTTTTAGGAAGATAAAATCAAAAATTCAAAAGAATTAAATCAGCAAAATAAATAATTGATTTGGATAATAATGAGAGAATATTTTTGGATTAGGGTTCAGACAATGAGTTCATATTTGTCTAATTGATTCAATCATAATGGAGCAACAACACCAATAGAACTTTTAGAGAAACGATTGTGCCTCCATCATGTGGTAGTTTTGATTTTGTTGGGCCTCCATTGTTGCTTAACACTCCCCTAGTGTCAGAAATGCGAGTGTCGATCAATTCGAAATAATGTGCTTGTTGCATGAACTAGATGGAGGTTAGGAGTTGTGCATTTGTTAATTCCTGAGGAGGGTCATTGGCTTGTAGAGATAGGTGGTTGCATTTCAGCATCTCCCTCTTTAGTGAGGAACTTACATGTATAAAGAGTTTTAAAGAAAACTTTGGCTTTGGAAGCTTGTGGAGAGTAGAACCCCTTAAAGGAGTTGAAATAACAAAATATTATAAATTAGATTCCTATTCATCCACTATCTTGATGTACTTAATAGAAGCCCAATAAGCAATAGTAGCCAAATCATTTGTTGTTGGACCTGATAATGGATCAAGTTGATTAAGGAAGTGCTGATAACCAAAGTATTTGACAATTGAGGTAATGAGACCTCTCTACACTATGTTGCCATTAGAGTAATGGGCAACATTTTGGAGGTGCTTGATCATGAAAGCAATAGTGTTGATCAAGTCATCTAGATGAGGGCTGCAATGCCATAGTCCCCAGAGAAGTGCTAGATCACTTGAAGTTACCTTTCCATTAGCCTCTCCTATACTTAAAGATGGTGGAGGTAGGCGATTCTAATGGACGGGAGGAGGAACGATGAGGAGTTGCAATGGAAGGCTTGCCTCATCGGGTCAGTTTGATTATTGGTGATGGTGAGCCAAAAGGTGTCATTGTTGTAGCTTGTCAGGTTGTGTCATAATTTTCCCTTCATTGGGAACCCAAAAATCAGACTAACCTCACCAAGTTCCATTTCGTGGTAATTGTTGAACAATTGAAACTCGATTGATGTTAATCTCTAGTGTACTAAAAAATTCATAAACCACAATAGGGTAAACTGGTTCCGCCATAGTAAAGAAATTGTTCCACCCCATATTTTTCGACATGAATACAAAATCATCATTCTATCCCTGAGTGTTCAATATGGCAAAATATAGGTATCTGGTAGGCAAACAAGATATGGATTTTATAGCCTCATACCTCTGCTAGTGAAGGGTGTTGCTCAAGACAAGCTTTGATAATGGTGGAGGGTGGTTTCCTTGCCCACTATGCACAACCACCCTTTGTCCTTTCAGGTGGGAGATAGAAGCTCTGCCATCATTCTTTTTCTGCTTTTGGACTATGATTGTGGATTTTGGGTGGAAGATGAGGAATTTGGAGGGGAGATGTACTGGGTGGTGGTTGGAGAAGTGGTGGAGGTCGGGTGGTTTTGGAGAGTTGGGGATAGGTGGTACCTTTGTTGGTTAATGAGTGGGGAAGGGGATGATGGAGGTTGGGTGGAGAAAGAATGTTGTGGGTATGAGAGGAGGTTTGGTGTAGAGAGTGGGTAGAAGGTATGAAGTGAAAGGGGTGGTTATGGGGCATTAGAGGAGGGTTTGGATTGGAGAAGGGGCATGCCTGTGCTAGTTTTGGTCCACCTATGGAAAGCAGTTGTTAGGTTTGAGTAATGTGCACATTACTCACACATCCATGCCATTCTTTCATCTTCCTTTCAACCTTCCTGCACAGGCGTGCAACCATGCTAGTCGTTGATCTCCTTCCTAGAAAAATTTAATCGCAAACACAAAAGATGATGAAGACACTAGGCATGATTCCATCGAAAGAAATAGACGAAAAACAAGTTATACTTGATTAATACACCAAAGAAATTTCTGGGTTGCCTCCCAGTGACTGCTTATTTAATGTCCTAAGCTTGATGCTTTATTACTCATTCGTAGGACATGGGATTAAAAAGGTCATTTGACATCTTTTTCAAAATTTGTTCCTCATCAAGGTACAACTTCAGTATTTGGCCATTGACTTTGAAGAAACCTCATTCTCTGCTTCAATTTCAATTGCTCCATAGTGGAACACGTTTCAGACCTTGAACAACCCAAACCATCTAGATTTTAGCTTACCGGGGAAGAGTCTGATCTTGGAATTGTAGAGGAGAACAAGATCTCCTTCCTTCAACTCTCTCTGATGGATGTGCTTGTCATGCCACCTCTTTGTTCTCTCCTTGTAAATCCAAACATTTTCATATGAATCAAGATGAATCTCATTCAGTTTCCAACTATTTTTTTTCACTAGCCCTTTTTAAATCAATGCGGAAAAGTGAAAAAGGGATTGCTATTATTAAATATAGAGCTCGTAATTTTACTTTAAACAAGAGGCCAACTAGACCAACTAGAATGGTGACATCCCAATTGGAGTTTTCAATACAATGTGGTAAGAAAAAAGAGCATCATTTAGCTTTTGAGACCAATCCTTCTGTGTACAAGAGGCCGTCTTCTCAAGGATGGTTTTGATATCTCTATTGGAAACATCTGCTTGCCCACTGGTTTGAGGATGATAGGGAATGGCTACCTTGTGGGTAACCCCATACTTCTTCAGGAGTGCTTCAAATTGTCTTTTTATGAAATGTGATCCTTCATCACTAATTACTGTTCTTGGGACTCCAAACCTTGGGAAGATAATTCTCTTGAACAATTGAATTACTGTCTTAGCATCATAAGTAGTAGATGGAATTGCTTCCGCCCATTTGGACATGGGAGTGTGGTTGTTGCAATTTCTCTTATTATGTTACAATTTCAACTAACTTCCTTCCTAAAGAGACTTCACCAAGTTGTGGGTTCATTGGGTCTTTCTATTTTTCTTGTTATAGACATTCTTTATAGGTCTAGCATGCTTATTCTTTGTTAACTAACTGATTTTATAGTAGTATAATGTTTATTAGGCATGTTTACGGTTCCTTTTTTTTTTTTTCTGGTTCTATTAAATGCTTAAGGATGTCAAAAACATTTAATATCGTATTTTCAAATTTTATGTTCATGATATTGTGACCATATTGCCTGCTTTTTTGTATAAACATTGCTATCGTTAGGTGTTTTTCCTCAACCTTGTCAATGAAATAATCTATTGACTGTCGATTATGATGTATAGTTGGTTTTTTAAGTGTTTAAGTATATTAAATGGTTTCTTTTGATATCAGATTATTCAGAGTTGTGCATGCTCCAATATTTCTTCGTTGTTTTGCATCTGATAGAAGACACATGAAAGATTCTGGTGGAAATTGGATTGAAGAACCTCCTCAACATGAACCCATAGTTGCAGAAGGTAATAACTGGGAAAATTTGTATAAGAAAATGGACTTTTTTGGCTCTGACTTAAATTGATTAGTATGCTACATGTCCTAGTAAAGAGATATATATAAATGGAGAAAGCAACTTTCAATTACTACCATGATTAAAATTTAAAGCTTTATAATATTAAGTCCACATTTTACAAGGTTCTCCTGAAATCTCGAGTAAGTTTTATTCCCCATTTTTTTTAACCTAAGGTTAATTCTAGTTTCTGCAATTGTTCATCAAGGGCAACCACTGACTACTTTATATTTATGTTATTGATTGCTACAGCCTCCATTGCAAAATCAAAGAAATAAATTCCATTAAAATATTATGAAGTTCTTATTTGCAAGTGAACGGAAAAATATTAAGTCATTATTTACGTGAATTCAGTGAGACACATAAGATCACGCAATTACAGATCTTGTCGATGAAACATTTTCAATTTGTTTGGTTTGAAAAAATGTTTTTCATTTTCTGTTTATAGTAATAAACACTTTGTTTTCTCTTTATTTCTGTTTTTTTTTTTCCTTTCTGTATAAATCTTGGAAAAGAAGGAAAAAAAAAGAAGCAACATGTCATTTTTTTGCAATTATTATTAGTGGAAACTGAAAAAGGGAAAACACAATAAAACAAGAAATGTTTTCTCAGACTAAACAGGTTAATAAATGGCCGTTGAACGAAAAAGGCACAAATTCTTGCTTCTCAATTTCATGCTTTCGAAAGGGTGAACTCCTGTTTGCATCTTTAAACGGGTTTCCAAAACCCCCCGTCATTTAAGTAGTCCAATTAAGTGATTAACCTGCATGGACAAGAGTTTTCTATTAACTAAATGGATTAAGCAGTGCAAGGTAAAGAACAAGTTTCAATATTGGATCACACTGCTATTTGTTTGTTTATTTTGAGTATGAATACTCTGCTATTAATGGGATGAGCCAGAGTTATACGTTTGATGTATCTGAGTTTCTTACTCCCAGGTTTTGTTCATCCATGCAGATGGTGCAGTGCATAACCTGAATGAATACATCAATATATCTGTTGCTGATGCTATTACCGATGTTACTACCAGTTCAGTGAAGGATGCAATTTTTACCGAGAAACATGGTGTGGTAATAAAGGAAAACCAGCTTGAGAAATTAGTTTGTCAGTTATCTTCTTTAGAATAGCTACATACATATGCTAGACATTCACATACAAATACTTCTCCGGTTTGTATATGTTCTTAGATGGCATCTTTCAATCAAAGATGCTGGTCAAATGTTTTTTTTTCTTTAATGGGTTTTGTGAAAGTGCCTTTTTTCCAGAGGTGTTTCTTTAGGGAGTGTTGTTGAAACATCGTGTGGTGATAAAGGAAAATCAGTCTGAGGAATTCATTTATCAGTTACTTATACAATAGCCACATTCACATTGCATGACATCCACATATCAATACCTCCCTAGTTTGTATATGACTATATGAATGTTTGGATAAACTTTTCTAAAAACATTTATGAGAGGAAAAAGAAAATAGGAAGGAAAAGGAAATAAACTTTTTCATAAGCTAAAACTAATTTATACATAAATTAATTTGTAATTTTTTTGAAAAGATATATGAGAGTTTTTACAAAGTAGTTTATAGATAAATTAATTTTAATTTATAAAAAAAATTATTTTATATTTATTTTTAGAAATGCTTTTAAAGAAGTTTATTCAAATAGCTTTTGTATATTCTCAGCTGCCATATTTCAACCAAAAATATTTATCAAATATTGTTTCTTTTTGGTAGGGTATTGTGAAGATGCCTCTTTTGAAGGTGTTCTTTGTTTCACCATTTTCTGTTTCCATTTTAAAAGAAAAGAGAAAATAAGTTTGAAAATGTGTTTAGTTTTAATTTTAGAAAATGCTTTCTGTAAAAGTGATTGTATAAACAACTCAATTTTGAAAATATAAGGGTGTGTTTCTTTTCAAAAATTATTTTCTATTTTTACTTTTTAGAAAATAATTTTTATTTTCTAATTTTAAAATTTAGAAAACATGTTTGATTTGGCTACTTTTAATAATAGTTCATAAAATATTTTTAGTATAAAATTTACAATTGAAATCATTGTCTATATATGAATTAGAATAATATTTTCATTCTTTCTATTCTATTTTATATTTATTTTTATTTGATTACTCTACTTTTATAAAAGATAAGTTTTGCTTAGAAAATGTGCAAATGTCTTTTAAATTTTTTGTTATCAAATGCACAATTTATTATCTAACAAGTAATAATTGTATATAAAAGTAAAATTACTGTTCTTGGGACTCCA